AACAGAATTTAATTAAAAACTGAACTGGGAGCTGTCAATGAGATGTAATACATAGAAAATTAAGCTCAGTGGTCTCATACATAGAAATCACTCAGGAAATTTAAATTGTTGGAACTGCTAGAACTGATTTAAGAAGTGATATTTAACCATGTGAAAGGCAGAGCAAATGAAACACACTGATGTCTTGAAGGATCATAGAGACTGTGGTTTTTCTGCATCACAAGCATATTACTAATGAGGGAAGATGAACTTAGTGCATAGAATGGGGTGCTGTACAGGGGCAGATCTTTTGATTTTGGGGATGATACTAGGACTTCATGGGTAGGACATCAAACTGAAGTTAATCAGATTTGTATCATTAGACACTATTCCTGCTATCTTGTGGAGAGTAGGTACCCAACCTTGGGCAGACTACTTAAACTCTGTGTCTCACTATCCTCATCTTTAAGGTAGATTCAATAAGAACAATGAGGTAGATTCAATAAGAACTGAATGAATGTTGAATGAATGTTGAATGCTGAATGTTGAATGAATCACCATTTATAAAGCACTTAGAATGGCTCCTGTGATTTAGAAACTGCATTAGCTGCTCATTGAATGGATCACAGATGTCTGGTAGCATAAGAGAACCTCAGGTTCTGCTCCTTTTCTACCTACCATGAAAAAAACACTTCATGAAAATCCCAGACTTCCCCTGACCCTAAACTACTAGTGCCTAGACTACTAAGACTGCTGAGCCTCCTGCTTTTCTTGCTGGGTCTGAGTGGAACAGTCTCACATGGATTTGACCTAAGCTTTTCCTTGCCTAGATCACCGGAATTGGGCTCCAAATGAGGGAGCAGGCTCCACACTCACTAGCTTGAAAGCACCAAGTACTTCCCTCTGGTGTAAACATCACCACTCACCCTTTCAAAGATCTCCCAGTGGTAGCCTGTATCACATTCCATTATGTTTGGTTCTTGCAAAGAACTTTGATATGACCCTCTTGGGGTTGTTGTCACCTCCCGTTTGCTTTCTATTCTTCGAGCAGATTTGAACAGAAAGAAAAAATGCAGTAATATATATGCAAACAGCCTTTTTCATTCTAGTAAGGAGCCTTTGAATTATACTTTATAGAGTTAAGATTACTTGCATCTTGGAAGTTTCTAGATTTTCTCCCTGCTCCAGTGGATTCACTTTTTGTGAATTCTACTATATATATTTTGTCTTTTGTTGTATTTTTTTGAACCTTGATTGCCTTCTGAGTAGTACTGTTTCAAAGTTACCTACTAACCTACTAATAATACCTACTTAGCTTTCTTCTACTTTTCTCAGTCGAAAACACTACACTGGATCTCATGTAGGAACAAGAGGTTTCATGCTGGATTTCTTAAGTATTGCCTGGAATTGTGATGTGGAGGATTTCAAGACAGCTTTGAGGTCACAGGGAGAAAGTCCTATGACTTGCACAAAAAGATGCACCAGATTCAAACAGGTTATCATTGTGGAAGAAAGGTTGTAGAATTGAGGTGGGAAAAGTGTAGGGCACAATCTTTGTCTATGTTTCTAAAGCATTATTAAGTTCATAGTGGATGAAACTTGTCATATTGTCTTTATCTTTTTTTGATATATGGAATCTTTTATGATGAAGTTAAGAACCATGGCAGTTGAATGATGGAGACCCTGAGTGCCACTGGTATGCATGTCATGGATTTATTGTTCCTGGCCTATGGGACAATTGACCTAGCCTTTGCCCTGCATAAGAATGTCATCTCCAAGTATTTGTATATGAATTTACATTAATACATTAAACCATTTATGTACATACATACCATTTGTTTTCTCTGATAATAGTTAAGTGTAGGCTTGTTTAAAAAAATGTAAAATGAGCTGGGTATGGTAGTAGTACATACCTGCAGTCCCAGCTGAACAGGAGAAGTACTAAAGAAGTCTAGAGAAATATTGGTGCTCAGTAGTTCAAGGTCAGCGTAGGAAATGGAGTGAGACCCTGTCTGACAAAACATAACAAAAGTTAAATGAAAGTTTCATTGTGAATATTAATATTGAGTTGTATACTTAAAATGGGATGGATTTTATTGCATGTGAATTATCTCTCTTACAGTTCTTATATAATTCTTGTATATTTTTTTCCTGTGATGGTACATGGGCTTGAACTCAGGGCCTTGTGCTCTTGCTTGGATTTTGTGTGTGTGACTGACACTACCAGTCTACCGTATTTAATGGTTAACTGGAGATGGAGTCTGTGGACTGGTTTTAAACAAGAGTCCTCAGATCTCAGCCTCCTGAGTAGATAAGATTATAGGCATGAGCCATCAGCACCCAACTTGTATATCTTATTTGAACTGTTGTTAAAAATATAAAAAATTCTAAATAGAAATGTTTTTTGTTGTTGGGGCTGGGAAGGTGGGCTCAGTGGTAGAGCGCTTGCCTTGCATGCCTGAGGCCCTGGGTTCGATTCCTCAGCACCACATAAGCAAAAAGAAAAAAGCCAGAAGTGGCGCTGTGGCTCAAGTGGTAGAACGCTAGCCTTGAGCTGAAGTGCTGAGGGACAGCGCCCAGGCCCAGAGTTCAGGCCCCATGACCGGACCAAAAAAAAAATAAATAAATAAATAAAGAATTTTTTGTTGTTGTTGTTGTTTGGGGATTTTTTGGTACCAGTCCTAGGATTTGAATTCAGGGACTGTGCACTGTCTCTGAGCATTTTTATTTATTTACTATTTTCTCTCAAGTCTAGCACTCTACTACTTGAGATATAGCTCTACTTTTTTCTTATGGTCAGTTGTGGGGCTTGAACTCTAGGCCTGGGCACTGTCCTCAGCTCTTCAGCTCAAAGCGAGCGCTTTACACTTGAGCCACAGTGCCACTTCCAGTTTTCTGGTGGTCTTTTGGAGAGAAGAGTCTCACAGACTTTCCTACCCAGGCTGGCTTTGAACCACAATCCTCAGATCTCGGCCTCCTGAGTAGCTAGGATTACAGGTAGTCAGCCACCAGTGCCAGGCTTGGCTTTTTTTTTTTTTTTTCCTGGTTTTGGGGCTTGAAGTCTAGGCCTGGGCACTGCCTCTGAGTTCCTTTTTGCTGAAGGCTAGCACTCTACCACTTAAGCCACAGCTCCACTTCTGGCTTTTTTTTAGTAATTTATTGGAGATAAAAGTCTCACCAACTTTCCTGCCTTAGCTGGCTTTGAACTGCAATCCTCATATCTTGGCCTCTGAATAGCTAGGATTATAGGCATGAGTCACCAGCACCTGGCATACTTCTGGCTTTTGACGGTTAATTGGAAACACAAGTCTCAGGCTTTGTCTCATAAAACAGTTTAAAAATATATTTTCTGGTTATAAAAGTAATATACACAAGTTAGGTGCCAGTGGCTCACACCTATAATCTTAGCTATTTGAGAGGCTGAGATCTGAGGATCTTGGTTTAATGCCAGCCTGGGTAGAAAAGTCCCTGAGACCCTTCTAATTAACCATCAGAAAACAAAAGCTCAGCAGCAGCCAGGCCCTGAGTTCAAGCCCTAGGAGCAGCGTACACACACACACACACATGCACGCATACATGCACGCACACACACACACACACACACACCATGTGATGATGTTTTCTTCCACTATTTTTTTACTCCATTGTGTAGATTATTTTTAAGTTATTTCTGAGTATAGAACTTTACTTTGTCTTTCCTTCACTTAATATTCTAACCATTTAAAATGCTGCCAAAGTTTTCTTATAAACATTTTAATTGCATGCATTGAGGCACTGTGTGAAGATATTGTAAATTAATCATTCTCTGTTGTTAGACATTGATAAGAACTAGCACTAAAATGAACACCTTTGAGCATATTCCCCAGTGTCATATTTGGATTCATTTCCTTAAATGTATGACAAGTAGATATATCAATGATTCTGAGTGCTGTCAAGTTGCGTTCTTCCATGAGGGACTCTGTTAACCTATAAAGTGTCTTCTCTAGGTAATAAATTACTAGGCAGATGTGGTTCTGGGATTCCAAGCTTGAAGTGGATTGTGGGCTGTGTTACCCTGGCTTACACTCCATGGGGCCTCAGTGCAATGTATAACTGCACTTTGAGAGGAAGGCTCCATTTATGTTCTTCCTGTATCTCACAGAGAGCACCTGTTTCATAGATCCTCAATATGTGTGTAAAAAAATAAAAGCTTTAATTCATAAATGAAAAATGACATGTTCTTGCTCTAGTTTTTTTCATGATGAAAATTAACATCCATGTGTTTCTCAGATACTTACATTTTTCTTAATTGTTCATAAAGTTATGTTTTTTATTCTTAGCATTTTTAATTTGTTGTATTTTTATATGGTATTTTAATTTTGTTACATGTGATCTAGCTTTACTAATACTCTTCCTATTTATACTTACATTGTTTTCTGAAAAACAAAGTTTTATTTTTACTTTTGTTTTACTTTATGCTTCTGCTCTTTTGATTTTCAGTATGCAAAATTCTTCATTCAGGCATTTCTTTTTACTATTTCATTTAAATTTCTACATTAATCTATATTAAATAAGTATTTTGATAAGCTTTGTAAAGCCAGAATTACTTATTTTTTTCTAATAAGTCAGTTTTCCAGTTACTAATTTTTATGTAATTTTTCCTTTCCCTACTGATTTGAGATGCTCTTTGCATGTGCTTAATTCTTGCATCTGCTCTGATTAAAGTGTTTTAATGAACTTAAAAATGATCCCATTCTTACTATGGCTAAGCATTGTTCATTTCCTGCATATTGTAATTTAAGTTCATTTTGTTTCAGTGTTAACATTTGTTTAAATTGATTTAATTTAAATACATTAATTTTAATTCCAACATTTCTTCTTTGCTCCTTGAATCAGTCACTGAGTGCCTGAAAAAAGTGGGATTACTGGTTTTGGAGGGACTATCCTATTTACAAATGATTCAGATTTAAAGCATTGTCCAAAGCAGGTATTGTCATTCAGTTTTAAGAAGCTCACAATTCTTCTTTCTGTTTGTTTTTTAGGGTTTGTTATCTCAGATACTTTCAGCATTCAGACTTGATACAAAAGAAGTTGGTTTTTTTACTAAAAGTCTTGGATATGAGCCTATAGATTACTATCCTGGATTGCTTAAAAATGTGAGTGTAAATTTATTAGTATTGAAATTTTCTTTGCTGAATGTTTCAACAGCAGGAAGGGTATATGGAAACATTTCACTCCTCCAAGGGAGTTGTTTAACTTTTCTTTGTTTATCTCTTCTTACCTTGAGTGGACTTATGGCCATGTAAGGAAGAACTGTGAGATGGAAGATTCTGAGAAAGAAGAAGGAAACCAGAAAAGTTTTAGTAAATCAACCAATCGCACTCTCTCATAACACATCTTACACACAAAGATTTCAGGGAGAAGAGCATTCCTTACCCAGTATAAACACTGCCTTGTACTGTCGAACAAATCTTGTATTTAAAATAACCTGATTTGAAGTTTATGTTGAAGCAAAGCAGAAAGTTCACTAAATAATCTTGCAAATAGTATTACATATTTTGATATTTGTATGTAATCTATGTTTTCTTCTGCCATCTTTAATTTTTGCCAAATTCAAGAAATGTTAACTCTTCTAAAATATTATGAAAATTTTAATGTTTGTTAGACACTTTGGGGGGGAAGCTTTATACAAATAAAAAACATTTTTTAAGAAGAAATTAAATTTGGAAAGAAGAAACAAATAAACGTTACCATGTTTTTATGTTTTTAATGGGGTTAGTCTTAAATCTTAGGAAAGTAACCATCTGCCTATTGTCATTGCCTAAAGAGGAATTCAGAACAATAGACATTAATGTAAAATCCACTTATTGGTGACTTGGCTCTACTTTCTTTTTGCTCTGACAAAGTAAAACATAGGGAGAGGACAGGGTAGGGAATCTCAACGGAAATATCACTCTCACCAAGAAAAATAGAACTGATGTAATCCTGTTTGTGGTATGAGATAACCTGCAACTGATTTTGTTTTACAGATGGTTTTATCATTAGTGTCTGAACTCAGAGAGAATCATCTTAACGGATTTAACACTCAAAGTCGGTAGGTGTTAAAGTAAACATCCCTCTTCTCAAGTTTCAAAATGCAGCAGCTCAGTTACGAGAGTACAGTTCTCTAATTCATAGAAAATGCATGTTCATAGTTATGGTTATATTTGGTACAGAGATTATTTTAGTAGAATACATCACAAATTGATGAGTTCTTTCAAATTTTCTTTTTTTTTAAATCATCTTTATCTGAACACTCATGGGTCAGTAAGTAAATCATGTAGTATCTTTTGTATACCCACCTATTAGGTTAAAAGCCCTACATAGATAGTAAGGGACACAAAAGAAAATAGAGTTGTTAGGCTTACCCTGGGGATACTTACTGTGTAAGAAGAAAACAGGCATGGAAGCTGAGTGTATGCTGTATATTCTGGGCTAGACTTCTTTTGCTCTCCCTCCCTCAAAATTTGCCACTGTATGTACAAGTGTTTGCAGTTATACATACACACACAGAGGATATTCACAAAGCAACAGGTATTTGATGTAAACATATGACCAATTTTAGAAGCAACAAGTATTTGATGTATACATATGACCTATTTTCAGAAACACAGTATACTAAAACCTAGACTAAACAAATCAAATAACCTCAGACAAATTCAAAAGCAATTAATCACATTACAAATGTTTGCTTTGCTCTGTGAATGAATTCAGAATTGTTTTCATTGGTGAGCATCTGTTTTTATCAAATCATTAACCAAAAGAATCTAGCTACTTGAGATTTTTGTAAACTTTGTCTCTCTCTTTCTGTCTTCCTTCCTTTTTTTCTTTTTCTGTTTTGATAAAACTGTTGTCAGTTAAAGCCTTCTCAGTAATGGCCTTTGTTCTTAGTTTTTAGAAATCTGTTGCATCTAATCCATAAAATGAAATACCAAGTTCTATGATACCACAAGTATAAGTAATGAAATAAAAATAGATTCAGTTTTAATAAAATTAAAAATCTCGTGACTGTGGGTTTAGCTCAGTGGTAGATGCATAACATGGGTTTGATCCCAGCACTACAATAAAAAGTAAGGATTTTTTTTTTTTTTGGTGAATCGAAGGATACCACCATGAAAACAAAAACAGCCTACTGAGTTGAGTGAAAACTTTTTCTGATAATATCTCTGAGCTCCTTGTGATGGTATACTACTGTAATTTTAGTACTTGGGAGGCTAAGGCAGGACTTTCTGAATTCAAAGCTTAACTGGGCTACATAAGGAGTTTGAGGCCACCTAGGATACCTAGCAAATCTCTATCAAAAAAACAGAACAAGACAAAAACAAAAAATAAAGAAAAATATTATCTCTGGTGAGAAAATAATATTTACTATATATTATGAATTTTGTTTTAAAATGACAGCAACAAAAATTAGTTCAAAATTGAGTTGGGACTAGAGATATAACTCAGTGGCAGAGCGCCTACCTAGCATGCACAGAGTTCTAGGCTTAGTTCCCAGCCACACAGACACAGGCAATAGACCCAAGTAGACATTCTTCTGAAGAAGATATCTAACAGACCAATAAGCACATGAAACCATGCTCAGCATCATTACTCATTAGGGAACATGTAAATGCAAGCCACAGTGAAATACTTATTCATACCCACTAATAATAAGAAGAACCAAATGGAAGCTAACAAGTGTTAGTGAGAAATAAAATATGCATCATGTGGAAAATAGTTTGGTGTTTTCCAAAAACAAATTAGTCACAGAATTACCAGAATATCTGCTAGGTATATATTTTTTAAAAAATTGATGCAGCAATACAAACAGATATCTGTAAGCCAGTTTTAATTTTCACTAATCATCTGAGAATAAACTGATATTACTATAGTTATTACTTCTAAAGCTATTAGAAAACAGAAATGATCACCCACAGACTTGGAAGTTATTTGTAAGGAAGGAAGAAAGGAAGGAAGGAAGGAAGGAAGAAAGAAAGAAAGAAAGAAAGAAAGAAAGAAAGAAAGAAAGAAAGAAAGAAAGAAAGAAAGAAAGAAAGAAAAGCAACGCTTAAAAACAGCACCCAAGCCCTGAGTTCAAGCCCTAAGAATGGCATATGCATGCATCCATACCCCCCCCACACACAAATGCACACACCAAAAACAAAAAGCCTGTGTGAATGATAACGATAAAGAAGAAAGAGAGAGGGAAGAAGGGAGAGAGAGCAAAAGAAAAGAGAAAGGAAAGAAAAGGAAAAGTTATTCAGTAGTGATGTCAGAAATGTGAGAAATATGGCAGAACAAAAAGGCTCAGATCTCATTCTCCCACATAGATATCATCTCAACAACATATAGCAAAACAAACAAACAAACAAAAACCCAAAAAACTCTCATTAAAACTTTAGAAGCCAGGTAAGAAGTTACTGTCTCACAAACACAAAGTCAAGATGAGCTTGAAATTACTAAGAAAAGCTATTTCATATCTACATCAATAGTCCTTCCCCCACACAAGTGCAACTTGATAAGACTGGAAAGAAATGACTAGCTTATGGTTACTTCCTTAGGAGGGAAAGAGTGGAATGTGCATCTAACCTTTCAGCATTTTAGGGATCTGTCTGACAAAGTGGTTTCTGTTTCTCCTGACTCAGCACTGATGGAGAACCGGCATACTTTGCATGCTTAGGGGTCACAGAGAACAAAAGAAAGCTCAGTGAAAGCACCAGAGAAGAGACAATACTGCAAAGAGAGGCTGGCACAGCCCAGTAAGTTTGAGCTTAAGTGCCCAGTTTATGGCTTCTCCTGTGGGAGAAAGAGAACAATCGAATTTGCATGTAATATTTTGATTGTTCTAGGTGCTGCTGGAGATTGGGGTTGGTGGGTTTTTTTGTTTTTGTTTTTATTTTGTGTGTGTGTGGTGTTTTTGTTTGTTGTTGTTGTTGCCTGACTTGTACTGCTAACAGGAGACTAGGATATACTTTGAATGTCTGGAAGCCACAAAGAACAAAGAGTCAAGTGGCTTGTTGCAGCATCTAAGAAATGGTGGTACCACATACAGGCAGCAGAGGAAGCAAAATATTATATCCTTTTGAAAAACGAAACAGAGAAAAATCTCTAATTGAGAAATTACATGTACAGACCTAGAGAAGGCATATTCCTAGAAAAACTCTAGCTGGGCTAATAAATCAACATCGTTCCTTAATAAAAGCTAGTATGGGCAGACTGAAAGAGGTGGCTTGATTTTTGTTTTTATTTTCTGTACAAATCTGTAAAAATAGTAAGACACACACACAAAGAGGGAGTCATAGCCTAATCCAAGGAATAAACCTCCCCCTCCAAAAAACCCCTAAAGAAACAGGTCTATGAATTAAAGAATTAAAAAATATTATCTTCAAGAATTAAAAGAATTAAAAAAATATTATCTTAAGGAATCTCAGGGCACTACAAATATAGCAAACAAGCAAAATGAGGAAAACAGTACATGAATAAAAGGAGAATATATACTTATAATGCATGTATGTATATATTATATATATGTATATATACATATATGCATATGTGATATACATATATATATATGGAGAGAGAGAGAGAAAAAGAAGAGAGAGAGAGCCAAACAAATTCTATGCTGAAAAATATAGTAAATGAACTAAAAGTTTCACTAGAAGGGGTTCAATACTAATCTTGACCAGGCAGAAGAAAGAAGTAAGATTCAAAAAGAAGTAATTAGAAATTAACAAGTAAGAGAAAGAAAAAAGATGAAGAAAAATGAAGATAAAGCTAAAGGACTTATAGAATAAATAAAATGAAAACTTACACCCATTACAAGTGTCCCAGAAGATGGGTAGGGAGGAGGCAGAGAGGAAGGGGACAGAGGCAGTGGCAGACAGAGAGTTTAGTGATCCCTCCCCTCTACACACACCCCCCAAAGAAATCCCAGACTTGAAGAAAGAATTGGAAATCCTGACAGGAGAAGTCTAAAGGACTTCAGATAGGATGAACCTAGAGATCCACACCAAGACATTGCAATAAAACAATCAGAAGTTAAAGCTTCAAAACTGCAAGAAAAAATTAGTGTGTCATGTTCAAGGGAACTCACCTAAAACTGTCAGTGAGTTTCTCACTAAAAGTATTATAGGCTAGATAGGAGTGAGATGATGTATTTAAAATGTTACAGGGACAATAAACAAAACAGCAGCCCTCTGCTAACCAAGAATATTGTGTCCAGCATAACTTCCCTTCAAAAATGAAGAGTTCTGGGAATGATGTTGCACTTCTTCAATCCCAATTGGAGCATCTGAATTTCAAGCCAGTTTGTATTGCATAGTGAACCCAGCAGCATAAAATCATACAAAAATACAATGTTCTCTTATAAAGATAAATATGTAGACAAAGATAAAATCTGGTAATATTGAAGGGGTCTTGTGCTTGCTAAGTAGGTGCTCTACCACTTAGGACATGTTCCCAGCCCCATAAATCTTTTTTTTTTACACCAGTACTGTGACTTGAATTCAGAGCCTTGCACTTTTGCTTGGTGTTTTGTGCTCAAGGCTGTGCTTTGCTACCTGAGCCACACATCCATTTCTTGCTTCCTGCTGATTGATTGGAGATGAGAATCTTAGAGATAGGTCTGTGCTAGCTGGCTTTGAACTGTGATCCTCACCTCTCAGCCTCCTGAGTAGCTAGGATTACAGACATGAGCCATTAGTGCCTAGCCACATATCCCTTTTAATTCTGATATAGCAGTTAAAAGATAAAGACAAAAATAACTCCTAAGTTAATGAATATCAAAGTTGTAATTTTTAGCAATCACAAAGTAAAGAAGGGATTTAAATGAATAGTTTTTGCGATTGAGATTAAATATTATCAGCTTAAATGGGTTATTATAATTCTAAGCTGTTTTATGTGAACCTATGGTAACAGTAAAGAAAACCTCAGGAAGTGCACAAAAGAAAATGAGAAGGAAATCAAAAAGGTCATTGCGGAAAAAAAAATATCAATGCAACACAAGAGAAGGCAGCAAGAAAAGAACAAAATAATGACGAGATAGAAAAAAAATCCTGGAAAAATGACAGTAAT